ATGGGATGTTGGTGTGCTTCACACCTGTAATCCCAGCACATTTGGGAGGCCAAGGCGGGTGGATCATGAGGTCAGGGATCGAGACCATCTCTGGCTAACATGGTTAACTCCGTCTCTACTAAAAATACAAGAAAATTAGCCAGGCTTGGGGGGCGGTCCTGTATCCAACTACTCGGAGCGTCTGAGGGCAGCAGACATGGCTGACACCCGGGAGGCGAGCTTGCCGTCGCGCCAACGCAACCGCCCTGCACTCCCAGCCTCGGCAACAGAGCGAGACTCATCTCAAAAAAAAAAAAAAAAAAGAAAAACACAACTCTCAGCCTGGGCACATGTCTGTGAAAACTCCGTCTTTATAAAGAAATGCAAAAAAGATTACAGGCCCATGTGGTGGTCTACAGCCTGTAGTCCCCCGCTACTTAGGACACTGAGGTGGGAGGATTGCTTGGAGCCGGAGGGAGTCAAGGCGCAGTGAGCCAAGATCATGCTACTGCAACTCCAAGCCTGGGTGACCAGAGTGAGACCATGTTCTTCAAAAAAAAAAAAAAAAATCCTTACAGGTAGAATTTATCACTCTAAATAATGATAATGATTAATAATACTAACTTTGCTTTTATAGAAGTTTTACGATACAATACATTGATACACAGTTCTTCTCTGACTTTGTAATATCTTAGAAAAGTGTTGTATCCACGTTTTGTAGCCGGGAAGCTGAGATTCAAGGAAGTTAATTTTGCCTAAGGTCAGCAAAGACAGTAGTTGGAAGTTCCAGTATAAGACTGATGATACTGGAAAGAAGACTGCAGCTGACCCTTGAACAATTCAGGGGTTTAGGAGTGCCAACCCCACCCCACTCCATGCAATCAAAAATCATTATGTAACTTTGACTCTCCAGAACTTAACTTCTAATAGCCTACTGTTGACCAGAGCCTTACCAAAAACATAAACATTCGATTAACACATATTTTGCATGTCATGTGTATTATATACTGTATTCTTACAATAAAGTAAGCTAGAGAAAAGAAATTATTAAGAAAATTATAAGGAAGATAAAATACATTTACTATTCATTAAGTGGAATTTGGATCATTGTAAAGGTCTTCATCCTCACCCTTCACATTGAGTAGGCTGAGGAGGAAGAGGAAGGATTGGTCTTGCTCTCTCAAGAGTGGTAGAGGTAAAAGAGATAGAGGAGGTAAAAGGGGAGACAGGAGAGGCAGGCACACTCAGTGTAATGTTTATTGAAAAAACTCCGCATATAAGTGGCCACACAGGTCATACATATGTTGCATTTATGCCTAGTGTTCCATTATTGGAACGCTAAGCATGTAGGAGTTATTTATATTCTACTGCTCGAGATCATTGCCAAGGTCTGATTTCTCACTCACACACAAATTCAAACAATTGCAACCTCCTGCATAAATGGGTTAAGGTTACTTGACTACTTAACAAATTGTATGCTCAGTTCCTAAGGGTTTTTCAGACACTGAAGGTGGGGGATATCACTGCACTGTGGTAAAGAGGAAACACTTCCTGAAAAAGGAATTTGGGTTGGGCCTTAAAAGATGGATAGAATTTGCTCAGTAAACACTCATTGGGATGTGTGGTTTGATTCAACCATCATCCATCTCACGCTGACTTCTAGACAGTAGTCTAATGCTTAGCCAGCTAGAGACTTTGCCTTGGAACCTGAGGCCAAATGTGTGCTGTTCACTGCATTCCCAGAGCTGCTTTCTACTCCGGCCTGGCCCTTTGTGTTTTGGTCAATATTGGTCAAACTTAAAGTCATGAATGTCAGTCCCTGCTCTGAGTTTCAGAATGACCACCACATGTCTGGTCAGTACTGTAAGGCACCCACACTACCGTGGAGACTTAAGACCCCTAAAACCACCTCTCCTACAGTGTAAGTGGAAATCAGTACATTTCCTGAACCAAAATCTTAACAGATATGTCCCTTGTCTTCAGAATTGTCAGGACCAGGAATTCCGGTTCTGGATCTCTGAAGGCCATTACTGCCTACTTGATCCGGAAATTCTCAAACCTACTTTAGTTCTTATTTCTGATATACCTCTCTGCACAGCATCTCAAAGGTTTATGCTCTCCCCAAGCTGTTGCTGGTACCCAGCCTCCCACTCCTCTGGGTCAGTGCAGAGCTCATCTGCCCTTTAGAGCCTTCCCTGAACGCTCTCAGACAGGGGAGTCTAAGAACCCTTGGAACAACTTGGGGACTAATGGTCTGGACCATTACTTTGGAACTTAATCTCTGCCATCTAAATTATCTTCATATAAATGTTTATTTTTTTTCTCCAGCTAGGGCAGAGATAGGAATCATTTGACAGTAGTTTCTTGAGGGCAAGGCCCTTCACTGTCATTTTTTTATCCCCTGGAGTTGCTGCACTAAACTGTCTTGCATTGGCCTTGCAGAGCGTCCAGCCCACAGCCTTTCCCATTAGGATCCTCCATAAATGCTTGGCATCAGGCTGGTTAATTGTGCCATGCCTGGGCCAGCACATGTGATTCTACTTCTGTAGGATGGACCGGTCATAGCCTGGCCTTGCCTTCCTCTTTCAACAGCCTCACTCTTCCAGGGCTTTATTAACCATATTCTTTGTGGATTTTTGGCTCACAGGTCGTGCCGCCACCACAACAGAATGATCTTGAGATTCCTGAAAGTCCTACCTATGAAAATTTCACCTGAAAGGAAAAGCAGCTGCTGCCTGTCTCCCGGGACCGTGGGGTTGGAGAGTCAGCTGGACCTCATGGGGCCTGGGGCTCACGGACAGAAGCACCTCAGTGCCTCAGAGATGCCTGGGTGTGGCTCCTCCCCATCCTTCTCACACTCAAGGCCTCCCAAGCCCATTAATAGTTCAGACACAGGCTCCTTCTTGGAGCCTATGGGCTTCAGATGTCTTTGCCCCATTTGTCACCTCCCACACTCATAGCGTTTCCTTCTCGAAATTCTACCACGACTGGTCAAATGTTGCTGAGGGACCTGGACCAGCTGACCTTTACACCACCTTCTCAACACTGCTGAAATGAACCCAAGAGAATTGTCACACATGACACAAGATGTACGTAAAATCATGCTCACTGCAGTGTTATTTAAAATAAAAGGCAGGAAATAACCTAGATGTCCATTTGGTGAGAATCCAGTTACATATACGATTATATACCCATGCAACGGCAAACCCTGCCACTTGGAAAGCAAGCAAGGACTAATAGGTGCTAATATGGAATGGGCTCTAAGATACATTATGGAGTGGAAAAAACAAAGTTCAGGACCGTGTGTATTGTATGCTACCAATTGGATTTTTAAAAAACTGTACGTTGGTCAGGCGCGGTGGCTCATGCCTGTAACCCCAGCACTTTGGGAGGCCAAGGTGGGCAGATCACTCTAGGTCAGGAGTTCAAGACCAGCCTGGTCAACATGGTGAAACCCCGTCTCTAATAAAAATACAAAAAACAACTAGCTGGGCCTGATGGCTGTAATCCTAGCTGCTTGGGAGGCTGAGGCAGGAGAATCACTCGAATCTGGGAGGTGGAAGTTGCAGTGAGCAGAGATCGCGCCACTGCATTCTACCCTTAGCAACAGAGCAAAACTTTATCTCAAGAAAAAAAGAAGAAAGAAAGAAAAGAAAAAAATGTAAGTCTACATGCTTACATAGGCATAGAAAAGCTTTGGAAAGAAATACAAAAAACATTAGTGGCTGCCTCTGGGAAGGAACTGGGAATCTCAAGCTGGGAAACAGACATTTTTTACTGCACAAATTTTTGCACTGCTGGAGTTTTTTAAACCGTATGTGTGTATTACTCTTTTGCTATTTTGTAAAGGTGCTTAAAATGCCTGTTTCAAATGAGCTTCCCATATTTACCTAAAAGAACTTCTCTCCTTATTGTCCAGTCTGGATACAGAATGCCCACAGTATCTCTCCCCAAGACTGTGGCTACAGCCCTCTCCTCTGCCTGTAAGATGCACTATGCTTGACTTATATTCATGATACTCTAGCGTACATTTCTGTTACCATCACCTTGCAGCCCATCTAGGTCCTTTAATTGTGTGCTGCCTCTGTCATGCTCTCCTGCACATGGGCCTGGAATCAGTATGGCTTCTGTTACCTGCAGTGGGTACTCCCAGGGGTTCAAGCAGTGCTTCCTACACAGCAGGAGCTTAATTACTGCTTGTTCATTGACTGGCTTGTTGCATGGATAATTATCTTTGTGAGACATTATCAGGGAAGCTCAACAATCAGACATATAACATGGTGATATTGTACATCTTTCTTTCCATAATACTGCATCCTCAAAAGCCCTGACCCCATAGGGTCTCTTCTGCTCCTTAAATAAATCTGGCCAGTTCAAGATCTATGCAGGACACGTGAAAGGCCAGCAGCAGTTAGTGGTCAGAGTCCTTGGTGTTCATCTGGACTGTTTCTGACCCCCGTCATTTCCTGCTGCCTCTGCTCACTGAACTCCTTGACTCTGCAACTCAACTCCCAGTACCAGACTCCTTCTGAATATATTTCCCCGGTTTTTAAGCTTCACACTTGCTTTAAGATGTAATCTGTTCACACTTCTCTCCAGGGGGAAGCCAGCCTGGCCAGCAGCACAGTCTCAGCGGGGAGGGATCCTGCAGGGTGTGAGCAAGTGCATGCCTTGGCTCTCCTTCACAAGATGGAATAGCCCCTGGTGTCTGGTTCTGTGCTGTCCCAGTGCGAACAGGGCTGAAGGACACTGCCAGCTCACCAGAAAGCCAGACCCTCTACAGCAGTATTCAAACAGACATGTTTATGGACGGCCCACAAGTGTCCTTTGGCTGCTATAGAGAATAAAAATGCAGGGTATGGAGAGGATACATAAATTTAATTCAGGTAAGGAATTCAGACTGCATCTGCATGATATCACTGTTTTATATGAAACTCCTGTATTAGATACAGGGTAGGACAATTGAAGAATCAGGCTTTGTGCAGTATCACCTGTTGGGATCTCTGAGTAAGTCCTCTCCCAGTTCACCCTTGTCCCTTTCCTGGGCTCAGCCAGAGTCTCCGCCCTGCTCCCCACAGCCTTGTTGAAATGTCTGGACTGACGACTCAGGGAACCCAGCATAGTGTCTAGATTCCAACTGCCTCGTGCTCAGCTCTCAGCTGCCTGAGCCCTCATCAGTGCACCTAGGGAGCACTCATCAGGACTCAGAACTTAAATAGAACATGGCTTCTGAGAGGCCTCTTCCTCTGGGAAGCCACTTCTATGAAGAAGCCAAAATGGATTTCTAACAATGTGTCTTCATAAATCAAACATCATACCGTGGACAAAGCTGGTCTCAACCCCCAGTTATCAGGTTGGCATGTGCTCAGGGTGATTTTTCTACTCAGAGATGGGCTTGCTTTGCACTATCTACTCTCCCTTCAGCTTACTCCCCCTGGTGGCCAACTGGCCAGAGGTAAAGGTGTGAGATGTAGGGGGAAAGTTTTTTCTCTGCAATTGAGTCAAGCCCAGGCCCTGGCTCCTGGTGCAGAACCTGCCAGGCAGCTCACAGCCAGACAGTCCAGGCTCTCAGCGGAGGGCTGCTTCCTCTTCCCCTGAGTCACCATTATCGTTCCTTCCTCTTGCTTTGGAAGATGGGCCTGGGCCTGGGCCTGGGCCTGGGCCCAGGGAGAGTCTAGAAATGCAGTCAACCCAGATTGAGGAGAAAAGGAGACAAGGGACAGCTTGAAAATCAGGTGGACAGAATCTCGATGCTGATAACATCACTTACATACACTTCCTAGATTACAAATACTTGGAAAGTGGCCTTTTGTGAACAACCTAACCCCTCCACCCATTCATGTCTGATTTGTAAACTGGAAGATATTATTTAACAGCCTTGATCTTACCATGGCTGTTAGACATCATTTTCAAAACAAAATATAAAACAAGAACAAATTTCCATATCCTCTCCAAACTAGGAGCTGTTCTATGAGACTCCTGTGCCATCATCCACTGTGCCAATTCCCAAAGCAGATGCTGATGTGCAGGAAAGGTGAGAATTGCTGCAGCAACTAGGAATAAACATCAAAGTTCTCCATCTCTTTGCGGCTCAGTCGAGCAGGGTTCTGGGCTTTAGGTTGACTCTTTTCAATCTGCAAAAGAAAAGGAGAAACTTCAGGCCCTTCCACTGGGAGGTCCTTATAACAATCCTGTGGGGTATGAATTGCCATCCCCATTTTACAGATTTTAAAAATGAAGCTCAGAGTGGTAAAACAAATTACTCAGGGTCCACGACTAGGGTGAAGTGCAGGAGGGACTTGAATCTAGTTCTTCTGGCTCCAATTCCAGTGCTCTCTTAACCATATATGCTTTTTCATGACCTCACAAGCTATCTGAGTCTACACAGTGCCCTCTATGACCCTAGGTTGTCCAGTCGGCTTTAATGTTGGGTGATAGCTGAAGTGCCAGGAATACCGGCAGGCAGCCATCCACCCCCTCCCTTGTGACCAATGGCAGCATCTTTATTGGACCACAGGTGGGGAGGCTCAGGTGTAGTGTGAGGCTTACTGGGTTGGTGGGGAGGATGAGGGATGCTCTCCATGCCTTAGTTTCTCTGAGTATAAATGGAAAGTATAATTATACCTATCTTGTAGCATTCTGTGAAGATTAAATAAAATAATCCATGTGAAGACACTGGCAGGCTACCTTATCCATAATAAACTCCCAAGAAATGTTGAGTCCCTCCTTTCCAGTCTCTAAATGCTCTGATGGGAATTCAGCCACCAGGCTCAGTGGTCATCTTTGAATAATGTCCACTCCTGAAGAAGATTAAGATCACCTATGTCCTGCAATGGCTCCCAAAGACTTGCTAATTTTAGAAAATCATTTAGAGTGCTTTATCTTCCCTCTCTGACCCATCCCCCAACCATTCTTGGAAAGGGGAGATGTCCAGTTTGTGGCCCACAGCCTGGGAACTAGCTTGGGGACAGCCCTAATGTAGAACCCAAGCTGCCCAATAAGTATCGTATCTAAACACACAACATGATCTTGGGTTAGACCCTCACTCTCCTTGGCCTTCAGTGTCTTCATCTCTAAAACAGAGGCTTGCATTAGAAGATCTCTAAATTCTCTACAACTCTGAGACCATGTGGATGACCTTTTCCTAAGTGTACCCTTTCATGGCTAGATTTCAGGGCTATGCCACAGACACTAAACCCATTGAGGAGTTCCAGAATCTTACCACTTCATAGATAGTGCTATTGAAGGAAGGGCTGTGGTTCCTCTTTCTGGATCCAGGCTAGAAATTCAGAAGGTAAAGAATGCTTAACTTCGAGATAAGTGCTCTCCCACTCCTAAGTGATGTGAGAGGTCCCAAAAGAGACTCAGGGCCCAGAAAAATTCTGAGGCACTCTCAGCCGGAAAATGAATAGAATCTGTCACCCCAGGAGCAAACAATGGTGTTTATGGTCTCCAGGGAAGACACAGTATATACAGTATTTGCCTATAATATGATATTTCTGAACCAAAATCAGAATTTACTGTTCCATACCCACATACACCTAAAACCCATACATATGTGTGTGTATGTATATATGTATGTGTGTATATATACACACACACGCACACACACACACGCACACATACACATTCCCAGAGCACATACACATACACATACACACACACATATATCCGCAAGGCAATCCTAATGCAAATACTGCCCCAAACCATATAACTCTTCAACACATGGTGTACATACACCCTTAATGTAAACAATTCAGGCATATAAGCAATTGCCAACCCAAGGACACTAGAATTCAGAGGCACATTCAGTAGCACATAGAGTTTTCATATACCAAAGCATGTGAACGTGGTGCCTATGAACATCTATAAGGCCTTATATTGTAGCATATAATTAAACATAAATCTCTCTCATGATGGGATCCAAGTAGGTTGAATGGCTTATTGGAAGGAGGTTGAATGAAAAGTCTGAAAATCTGTCCTAAACCCCTTCAAACCTGTGGTCTCTGACTTGCATGGACTTCCACAGTTATGTGGACTCCCAACTTCCCATGCTACCATGTTAAGGTTTTCTGACTTCATACTATGGCTCCAGCCTTGGGAACACCACTCTTCCCATCCCCTTCTACACAAGAGAAAAATAATGACCATGGGTACCAGGATACCCAACTCTGTTTCCAAGTACACAAGAGAGCTATGAGCTCAGCTTGGAGAAGGATTTCAGTGGATGACGATGGGTTGCCTCAGTCTGGAGGCCTCCACCAGCAGGTGACTGACTGGTCAGGACCTTTCTCTGGTCCCGGAGGGTCAAGATTGTGTCTCTCTAGATCCAGTCTACTCCTCCAGCTCCAGGCAATATGCCCTGCCTTGCAAACCCCTCCAGTATCTCTCACCATAGCCTCAGCTGGCCTAAGTACCCCGTAGTCTCTCTGTGCAAAGCACCTCCTTTCTGTCTCTGATTGTCCTTTACCTCCCACAGAAACTCCCAAAAACTCATCTAATCTACTATTCTCTTAGTCTAGAAGCTGTTATTTTTCTCCGGACAGAACCAGAAAGGCATTTCTCACTGGCCCGTTGACATTTAAATACATTCATTTAACAGAAGCTACTCAGATACACACAATGAAGAACAACTTGCTAGGATGTGCACACATACTGTCTCTGCAAACACATGCAAAATACACATCTGCATCAACAACACCCCACCATCACCACGGGAAGAAGCTCACCTTCCTGGAAGGCTGAATTAATGAATATAATGTATATGCAGGTTCTTGTGACGTAGGAGCGGAAGACTAATGAGAAGAGAAATAAAATCATTTCAGAAGCACAGATCCAGCACAACCCTACGAAGGTCATCTCTTCCATCCCTCCACCTCAACCCTGCCCAGATGGAAGCTTCAAGTGTTAGTGCAAAGAGCCCTGGACTAGCCAGGAGGTCAGACAACCTGAGTGTTAGTCTCGCTCTGTCATTAATGAAAGCTACTATTTGTCGAGCATTTATTTTAAATGTGTATTCTCCTCTGTTTGTTTGTTTGTTTTTGAGACAGAGTTTCATTCTATTGCCTGGGCTGGAGTGCAATGGCTCGATCTCGGCTCACTGCAACCTCTACCTTCTGGGTTCAAGCAATTCTCCTGCTTCAGCCTCCTGAGTAGCTGGGATTACAGGTGCTCGCCATCATGCCCAGCTAATTTTTGTATTTTTAGAGACAGGGTTTCACCATGTTGGTCAGGCTGGTCTCAAACTCCTGACCTCGTGGTCTGCCTGCCTCAGCCTCCCAAAGTGCTGGGATTACAGGCATGAGCCACCGCACCCGGCCCCTTCTCTAACTCTTTTAACACTCCTATAAAATAGGAATGATCATAATTTGCCCCATGCCACAAATGAGGCTCCAAAAGGATAAATAGCCCAAGTCAGGCAGTGCATACACAGTAGAAGCAGAATCCAAACCCAAGACTCTCCAGGGCTCTTTCCTCAACATCTGAATGCCTCCCTTTGGCAATTTGCCTTCCTTCCCTAGACCTGAATCAGGTGTCCTCTAACTCAGGTAACCATCCTCCTTTTAAGATGCTCCAGAGGAGGATTCTCATTCTCACCCAACACCATAGTTTGAGAGGAGCCCTTTCTTGCACTGATACAAGTTCCCCTTGTTGGAGTTCAATGTGGCTAAAACTAGAGAAATGGCAGATATCAAGCACTCTTATAATCAGATTTTCTTTGCCCCACAACTCAGCCACCAAACTGAAGATGGTGCTGTTTCAGGTCTCAATTTTTTTTTTTTTTTTTTTCTATTTTTTTTTAAGCCCGATTGTTTATCAGAAAGTATTTTATTACTGGCCACCAGGAGGCAGTGTTTCCCTTGGGAGAGACGTCCCAGCCTGGGTTATCAATGTCATTTTAGCCATCAATATTAAAGGACACTTCTCCAGTTTATGAGTGAATTTCTCTAATCCCAGAATATCAGAGGTGGAGTATGAGGAGGTGCAATGGAGACTCCAAAACGCTTTGGCTCAGCTCTGCCACTACCTAGCTATGTAGCCTTGAGTTATCAGTTGACCTGAGTCTCAGTTTCCTCATTGTGATATGGAATGTAGACCACATCTAAAGTATTAGAACTAGTTTCATGAGGCTGTTATGTGAGACTTAGTAAGAAACTATGGCCGGGTGCAGTGGTGCACACCTGTAGTCCTAGCTACCCAGGAGGAGGCTGAGGTGGGAGGATCACTTGAGGCTGGAAATTCAAGGCTTCTTCAGTAAGCTATGATTCTACCACTGCACTCAGCCTGGTAGACAGAATGAGATCCCGTCTCATAATGGGTGTACCAAAAATCTCACAAACCACCACTAAAGAACTTACTCATGAAACCAAATACCACCTGTTCCCAAAAAACCTATGAAAATAAAAAATAAATCAATAAAGAGACCCTGTTTCTAAACAATAAAATCTTTAAAAAGAAAATGGACATTATTGCTAAGTCATAATAAGATAAAAGAGACCAATGCAGATTCATTCTTTCCTGAAAATGAATATAATAGGGAATAGGGATAAAAAGTGCAAGAGCCCCAAGTGCTAGAGGCAGCAGCAGGGCAAGAAAGCAGAAGTTGAGTCCCCTAACCAGGTTTCTGCTCCTATAGACTTTATCTGGGCCAGACCTTCTGCCAGATGCGGAAGAAGAAGGAATGTCCACATCAGGCTTCCCAGCTGTGTTAAGATGCTCCACAATCACATGGATCTTTTCAAATAATGTGTTAATGCAACTGAAGTCAAGCTATCTTCTGGATTCCAAGAGCACTAAGGTCTTATTCTGCCATTCAAGGGTGTGAATTTCAGGGGGGGGCACTAGGAAACCCCAGAGATAGGTATGGAATGGACTAGAGAAACTAGAGAGGTACCTGGGACTGGATCATATAGTAGATGGTGCTCCCCCCTCCAGGAAAAGTCTGCTCCTGCTCCTGCTCCTGCACAAGAAATAGGGATGGGGTAACATGAGCAGACAGCTAGGTCAGTCCAGATTTAGACTGAGCAGGGGAAAACAGCACAAAGAAGAGGGGCTTTCAGGAGCCTGGGAGGGAGGTGGCAGGACTGAGGAGAGTCATTGATCCTCCCAGGATGGGGAAAGACAGAAAGAAGAGCAGCTCCAGTGAAGCCATTAGTATCAGGAGCAAGGAACCACCCAGGTGTGAGGGATTCCAGCAACCCTGCCCAAAGAGAATGCTGTCACTTTCTTTCCTTTACTGACTTAGAAACTCTTCCTTGCAAAGCTCTGAGTAGGGCTGTTATCTGAGCCTTATGTCAGAGCACTGGAATTCAGAAAGTTTAAACATTTCAAAGACCAAACACAGGTAAGCCCTCTCTAGATCATCTTCAGTGTCACTTTGCCCGTGACCTCAAGCCAGCCCCCTGGGCAGCTACAGTGCTGGGTACAGCCCTGAACCCAAGGGCCAAAGCAGGGAGCAGCGCTTCCTGCTTCCCTTTTCTTGTTTTTGCCCCTTAGGAAATCGGTGGTGGAGGTATTTCATGCTGCTGGCCACTGAAAGCATATTGCCAGTTTGGGTTCTAATAGGAGCCAGTGGAGGCCAGCAGGTTTCATTAGGCGAGGTGCAAGCTAAATTCCTGGAAGCAAGAAGAAGCTAAGAGGAGCAGAGAACTGTCAGCTGTCCTTAGAGGCTGGAGAGTCATGGGCATCTGACAATGTCAATAACTTCATTTGTGTTTTAAAATACTGCAAGAGTTTGTTGCTTTTCTCTCCTGTCCAGACTCATCTGAAGTGTTTCTAGAAAGATTAGAGCTGGGTCTCAAAGTGAGACCACATGAAACTTGAGATTTAGCCCTTCAAATTGGAACCCTGAGACCATAGGGAGAGGCCAGAGAGGGCTGAGGCCAGACAGGGAGGAGCTCTTGAGTCAGAAGTAAGCTAATAGGACTGAATCCCCAAGATGTTTCCTTTGCACTAAGTTGTTTCTCCCTCTGTGGTCTCCTAAACTCAAGTCATCTTCTTTTTGGAAAAACAGATTATTTGTAGCAAGCAGCACCCGCGCATCATTGGCTGTGGGTAGATTCACTTGCTCTCAGGAATTTGCACCAGAGTCTGGTAGCAGTGAGAGAAACAAAGTTCCCTTTTATTTTTCACATTCCAATAGCCACTGCTTTATTTTTCACATTCCCATAGCCACCGCTGGGGCGAAAACAAAACAAAACAGGCGTGGGGAACTGCCCTAACTGCCTCTGAAACCAGACCCAGGAGAGGATGCTTGCCTGCTCTGCGAGGCTGCACAGGGCCTCATGTATGTGGCCAGCGCAGAAGAGCCCCACCACATGTGCTTGCTACGCGGTGCTGGGTCTCCACAGCCAAGCGCCAGGGGGCAGTGGAAAGAAGACATTTCCACCCCACTTCACCCCCCAACTTCCTGCCAGCAGTTTGGTAGGCCCCATTAGAGCTTTCCCCTGGGCCTGTCACCACATTAGCCCTGAGCAGGACACAGCAGCAGGGGCATCTGCAGGCCCTCTGCAATTTCCTCCTCTTCTAATTCTTGGATGACAGGCAGAGTTGGCCACTGCCTGCCACAGAGAGCAGGCGAGAGGCTCCTGGAGGAACCCACTCAGGCTGGTGGGCTTTGTGCCAGGCTGGTTACTCTAATACCTCAGCCACACACAGGCCTCTTCTCCCAAAAGTCTGTGAATGCAGCCCATTGAGCCAGCTACAAAACTGTTATGCTTTGGCTGGTCACACTTCCCAGCCTGTGTCACCATTAAGGGACTCATGAATGCAAGCCCTGACTCATTGGGAAAAAGAATTTGTGGTCAGACAACAAATACCACAGCAGCACTCTGCCTCTGCCATTGATTTCTGTTGTGCTCCATCCCTTCTCAGCAGGTGCAATATTGCACCAAGAAGCCCCTTCAGCCTCCCTTTCATCTTCTCTGCTCCTTTTGTTTCCTCTTTTCCTCCATTGCCAGAACTAGGAAGCAAGTGGAGAAAAGATAGTTGGGGAAGGGCTGAGGGTCACATCAAGAAGACAGTTGTTCAGTCCTTTTTGTCCCTCTTCTCTGTATAACCATCATTGAAAGAGCATTTTCCAAGCCAATTGAGAGCGACCCCAGCCTCTGGGACAACATACTTTATTTCTCCTGGTTTTCAGGTCCTTGACCTCTTCATAAATTGTCAAAAATTCCTTGGGACAGGTCTCTGAAGGAGGAAGAAAACAAAGAGCAGAACTGCAGAAACTTTCAGAAGGGCTTTTGCTTCTAACAGGCCCCACCTCCACCCCAAATGGCCAAACCTTAAAGAAGGTTCTAGAAAGGAGGCAGGTTAGTGCTCTTCCCAGGAACCCCAAAGAGCACAGAGGCAGCAACCAAACTGCCCCTCTCATGCTTCCTCCCAAACCAGCTGTCTGCAGGGAAATCTGCACATTGAGGATCAGAAAGCATGAACAAGGAGACAGAGCCTGGCGGCCTGCATGCCCCCTGCCACCACGCATACGCATATACCAAAGCTCGCTGAGGAAAAGGAGATGCTGTGCTCCCAGACACATCCCACTAGAGGCAGGACCAAGTCACAGGATCCGCGGCCTCAGGCAGAAGCATCACCCCAAGGACCTTCCACTCACCTGATTGCTTCCCCTTCCTCTTTCTCCTCCACACACAGAAGCAGACAAGGGTGCCAAGGAACAGTGTGCTTAGAATCACGATGATCACCAAAAACGGCCAAAATCTGAATTCTGAGGAATACAGAAGGCATGAGGTCTGAGCTGCCAGCTCACTCTCTTCTTCCTTCCCATCTGCCTACTGCAGGGGCTGCCTCAAAACCCACTCTTTTCTGTGGTGTGGTTGATCACACTCTGTGAACTCACCATCAAGGTTTTCTCTTTGCTCATTTGGGTAACCTCCTCTGAGTGATGCCAAGAGCATGGATATTAATATCAGACAGGCCTGGCTCAAATTCTAACTCTGTGAGCTCTGCACTATTTATTTAACCTCTCTGGGCCTCTCGAGTCATCTTCTTTTTGGAAGATACCTCAGAGCCTCTCAGATTTTCTCACCTGTAAAAGGGGACAACGTTATCTACCTATAGGGGTTAATTACATGATTAACAGTTGGCCCTCCAAAGTTTTGAGTTCCACAACTGTAGATTTAATGAATTGTGGATCCAGAATATTCAGAGGAAAAAAATTGCATCCGTATTGAATATGTAGACACTTCTTTCTTTGTCATTATTCCCTAAACAATACAGTATAACAACAATTTAAATAGCACTTACATTGTATCAGACATTATAATTAATCTAGAGATGATTTAAGTAAGGTATACAGAAGGATGTGCATAGGTTATATGCAAATACTGCACCTGTTTATACCAAGGACTTAAATATTCGTGGATTTTGGCATCTGTGGTTATGACATGGGTCCTGGAACTAATTCCCCATGGATACTGAGGGACATGTAAAGCACCTAGCACAACAAATGCTACATTTTTCCATTCATTTGTTTTTAACTCAAAAAATGCTCATTGTCCAGGCAAGTTTTCCATCTCTCTTTTCCACTATTCCTGCCTTCATGGTTCTTCCTCATTTGAGCTTCTACTTAAAACATTTGTGTCAAACATGTAGCCTGATACATAACCCAGCCAGTGAGAGGAAGGGAAAGGAATTAAGTGTTCCGAGGTACTTATTATCATCCCCATTTTACCCAAGGGGGGAAAAATTGAGACTCAGAGAGGTTAATGAATCTGCCAGAGATCACAGAGCTTTTTTTTTTTTTTTATTAATTATTTTACATTAGGGGATGGGATTACACCATGTTGTCCAGGCTGGTCTCAAACACCTGGACTCAAGTGATCCACCTGCCTCAGCCTCCCAAAGTGCTAGGATTACAGGTGTGAGTCACCACACCTGACCTCTAAGAGATCACAGAGCTTCTGAATGATGAAGCTGGTGTCCCAGTTCAGTGGCGCGATCTCGGCTCACTGCAACCTCCGCCTCCCAGGTTCAAGGGATTCTGCTGCCTCAGCCTCCCGAGTAGCTGGGATTACAGGTGCCAGCCACATGCCCAGCTAATTTTTGGTAGTTTTAATAAAGACAGGGTTTCACCATGTTGGCCAGGCTGATCTCAAACTCCTGACCTTGTGATCCACCCTCCTCGGCCTCCCAAAGCGCTGGGATTACAGGCATGAGCCACTGCTCCCAGCCTGCCTCAGTCTTGCTTATTTTTTGTGCAAAAGTACTTATTTTAGTTGCCCTTACTTGGCTGTAAGTTCCTTATTAATGAGAACTGTATTTTTTTTTTCCTATAGTGCCCATGCTGCTGGCATATGAAGTCTCTGTTTATATAATAAAAAGTTGTGGAAAGTGAACTCAGGTAACTCGTAGGATGAGCATAAGCAACAACCCAAGAACTCATCTAGGTATCCCTGGGATCGTCCTCATGCTCCTGCTCCAGGCTACTGCTGCACAGTATAGTTACCTCTTGAACTATGTGGCCTGGAGAAAGTTATCACTCAAGAGGAGAGAACAGTTCTCCATCAGCCTCTCTCAGGAAGAAAATAACGTTCAGGAGCCATTTCAGGACTGTCACTCACCAAAACACTATGCCCTCCCTCTGCAGAAGAAAAGCTTGCATCTCCCAGAAGGAAACAGGGATAACTTTTTTCCAGAGTAGGATAGCTTTACAGGAACTATGTGCTTGGAGGCCAGGACTCCCCTGGGAAGGGCTACAAGGCACTGCGAGAGGAAGCCAAGGGATTTTATCTCATACCACGTCTGTCTTACACATGAGCCTGGTTGTGGGTCCAAACCTTCAGCTCTTGTTATAGCCCAGTGTGTTCCACTTACCGTGATGGGCATTCTGACAGTCCTGAGTGAGATTCAGGGTGTGGCTTTCCCAGCTAACAGGATTGCTGACGTTGCAGGTATATGTGTGCGTGCCATTAATGTCAACCTCCTCCTCCAGGTAGGTCAGGTTCCCTGCTGTCTGGATCAGCTTGCTGCCTCTGTACCAAGCATAGGTCACATCGTCATCCCTGGAGACCAAGCAGGACAGAGCCACTTGGCACCTCCCTCTGTCCAGGATCTTGCCCCGCCCCTGTAGGCGGGGTTTCTCAACTTTATCTGGAAGCAGAGATTCTGATCAGAAAGGCATGGAAATACAGAAATTAGAGGCCTACAGGAATCAGAGAGGGCAGTATGAGCAGTCCTGGAGACTTACCAAATACAAAAACCCGGAACATGGCTCTCTGAACTTGTCCCATCGTATTGGTGACCTCCAGGCAGTAGAGGCCACTGTCCTGCTGCTGAGCTGCCTTGATGAGAAGAGTCGAGTTCTTGATTATAAAACTGAATCTATTGTTGAAGGTATTGGAAGGCGAAGAGCCATTCTCCCACTGCAATATCTGACGAAATGTATTTTGTGAGGGCAGCCACATCTTCCACTGAACATTGTAAATCTTTGTCTGTATGCTGTTTGGTTGTAACTGAAGGGGCATTCCCAAGATGCTAAACACATGGTCAGCTGATCCCTGGCATCCTAGGAAAGAGAACCCAAGCTGAAAGTAGCGGGAAGAGTGTCAGGCCTGAGCAATGTGGGCAGCTGGATGTGATTTCCCTTAAGTCAATAGGTTGGGGATGGGTATGAGGAGCCCAGAGCCTAGGAGCACCTTAAAGTGTATCCCCCCATCTGCCTCCCCTTGTCCCCAAGCTCTTTGTCCCTAGTCTGAAGGATCCCATAGACCAATAGCTAAAATCTTGAGTACTTACTATGTGACAGGCAGGTTTCGCACTTTATACATTTTAACCGTTTAAGTTAAAAGGTATAAAATGGTGAAAATGTACAAATGTTTTATACATTTTAACTATTTAACTTAACAATGACCCTTATCCCCATTTTATAGGTGAGGAAACTGAGTTAGAAAGAGCTTAAGTAACTGGCTTAAGTTACACAGTGAGAATGATGAGCCTGAAACCTAGTCAGTTTGGTGTTGTTTTTGTTTTCTTTTGTTTTGTTTGTCAGAGACAGGGTCTCACTCTGTCACCCAGGCTGAAGTGCAGTGGCACAATCACAGCCCACTGCAGCCTTGAACTCCTAGGCTTGAGGTGATCCCCCCACCTCAACCTCCCTCGTAGCTGGGACTACAGGTGCTTGCCACTGCACCCAGCTTATTTGTTTACTCTTCGTAAAGACAGCAGTTTGGCTTCAGAGGATAAATTCTTAACCATGATGTTATAAACACCACATCTAATGTGACTCCCTCCAAGCAGTGCTGAGGCAACTACTAATGGAAAGTAGTGACTGTCAGAAATTCTGAAGGGTCAGGCCCAGGAAGAATGACCCTCCAAGCTGGACTCATGACCCCTCAACTGTCCTCTCAGAGAGCTGAATACGTAATCCTCTCTCGTGGCACTTGGCACATTGGATTTTGGTCATTACTCATGGATGTTTGCCAGTTTTTCAGTGATCAGAAAGTCTCCACAAAAATTTCTCCCTAGAAAACAATTTTTAAAATAAAACTACACTTCCCAGGTAGATCCCAGCACTTCCCTGTCAATGAATCCAGATGAGACCTAATGAATATGGGGGTGTGACAACCTGGAGCAATTCAGTGCAGGCAGTGTACAAAACTGGAAGTTTCTACAGCCAGTTTTAGCAACGAAGCTATGTGGCATGGCCCAGTAGGTACAGTAAATTAAAAAGTCTCTCTGGGTGAGTTGGAGTGGGTCAGGGAGGGTTTGGAGGAGAGAACAGGAGATGGAGAGAGTTTTACAAGTGGCTCTGTTAAAATGGACACTATTAAGAAGTAAGCAATGGAGAGAGAGGGGTTTTTAGATGTCCAGTGCATTATGAATGCACTCTCTCCAAGCCACAGCTTCACCCTGGCATTTTCTCAAGAGACTAAGTAAATAATTAAAGGACTTGTAATACTATTTGTTTGATGAAATATGTTTCTTTGATCTTGATGTTCCTAAGACTAAAACACATAGGTTCCCATTTATATTTATATGACTTGTACTGACTCTGCCCATTAGCAAACCAAAAGCTTCTCAAAAGTAGAGACTGTGCTGTGCATCTCTGTGTCTCTGTCTCCCACAGTCCTAGCACTATTTATGAGAACAGGTCAACCTACCAAATATTGCACAAAGACCCTGAGAACAAAGGTGAATGGAAAAAATCATTACTAAACCTACAAGAAGGACATAAACTGTCCTTATCAATCATTCAGTCCTTACTGAGTCCCACTCTAATCCAGCCCCTGAAGAGGCAGGGCCTCTTCACGTATAAGACGTGATTCCTGACTCCAGAGAGTTTGTGATCTGGAAATGGAACACTTTCATTCTACAGCATCCCCTTAACGGTTGATATAAAGAATCATCTGAGGAATCCTAATTATGTAATGAAAATCCAGGTTAAGACTTGCTAACAAATCTTCCCACTAAAAATAACTCAAAAAAAAAGGAACAACATGTAAAAGCACATTGTTAAAGTTATCAGAGAGTTTATAAAGCAGTGAAAAATTATGGGGCCAAGATCTGGAAGAAGGAAATTCAGAGAGGTGAGACCAACATTTCTGACAGTTGTTCCCTGGAGGTATCTTCTGATTCCATAAATGGCAGCTAAAAGGCTGCGAAGCTGAGCAGAGCTCACAATAAAACTCAAGGAACTAAGAGAACGTGGAGTTCAGGCCTCTCCTGTTAGCAAGTGGGTATACCTAAAATCCATCGGTGTTGAGGTTGGTACCACAGAGGGCTATACACTAAGAGTAAGAGTGAACGAGAAATGAACAGCCCTCGCAGGAACTGAAGCTCAGTTTTGAATCATCACATCCCTGGATTGAACTAATGATCTGGAATTTCTAGTAGCCCTAAGCTGGTTGCCCACTAGAAGCAAATATAAGTTATGACTAGAGGAAAATAACATCAACCAGAGCATTAAATTATTTCTAGAATTTTTCGTGCACAATATCCGAAATGAAATGAAGTATAAGAAAAGGAAACATGTTCAAAAACCAAAACAAGAATAGAGACAACAGAAACCAACCAACAGGGCATCTACATAATAGAGTTGTCAGTCATAAACTTTAAAGTAATCATGTCTAATATGTTCAAGGAAATAAGACATAAGTTTAAGAGTTTCAGCAGAGAACTAGCGTGATCGAATGCAAAAATAACCATGTCCTTGCAATGTGACTTTGCAACTCCTTCCATCATCAAGAAATGAGGTTCATTTCCCTGTCTCTTGGAACTGGGCTGGTCTTCATGATGAAACGCAGCAAAAATTATGTCTGCCAGTTCTAAGCCTAGATCTGAAAAGGCATTGCACATTTCTACTTGTTCTCTTGGAACCTCATCTGGCTGACATGTGAACAAGCCTAAAATAGCCTGCTGGAGAATAAGAGATCACATGATACAGAGATAAACCAACACAGCTAAGGCCATTCTAAATCAGCCACCCCTGGCCTGGTGCGGTGGCTCATGCCCATAATTCCAGCACTTTGGGAGACCAAGGAGGGCAGATCACTCGAGGTTGGGAGTTCGAGACCACCCTGGCCAACATGGTAAAACCTTGTCTCTACTAACAATACAAAAATTAGCCAGGCGTGGTGGCACACGCTTGTAACTCCAGCTACTTGGAAGCCTGAGGCACAAGAACCTCTTGAACCCGGGAGATGGAGGTTTCAGTGACCCAAGATATCATGCCACTGTACTCTAGTCAACGTGACAGAGCAAGACTTAATCTCAAAAAAACAATTAAAAATAAATAAATGAATCAGCCCTCTGTGGTCTGGCAACTGACCACACATGCATGACTGCTGCAAGAGGGAACCAAAAGAACCACCTAGCTAAGCCCAGCCCAAATTGCCAACTAGCAGAATCACTAACTAAATAGGTAGTTGTTTCAAACTACTGGATTTTGGAGTGGGTCATTATGCAGCAATAGTTACCTGAAATTGGATTTTTAAAGAATTAAATGAAAATTACAGAAATAAAATGTAAAATAACTGTAAAACAAACTCAATTGAAGGGTTTAAAAAGTCATTTAGATGCCATTGAAAAGAGAATTAGAAAACTGTTATAAAATATCCAGAGTGAAGTAAAGAAAAACAAAAGGATAAAAATACACAAGAAGGAGTGTAAGAGATATTTGAGATATAGCAAAAACAAAACCCCTAAACTAAGTGTAATTGGAAAGCAAGGAGACAGGAGAGGAAAGAGGAACTAAGCAAAAGAGATAACAGATAAGAATTTCCCAAAACTGACAAAAGCCATCAAGATAGACTTGTAAAATGTGTTACAAACCCCAAGCAAGATCAAAACAAACCAACAAGCTGGGCGCGATGGCTCACGCCTGTAATCCCAGCACTTTGGGAGGCCCAGGCAGATGGATCACCTGAGGTCAGGAATTTGAGACCAGCCTGGCCAATATGACAAAACCCCATCTCTGCTAAAAATGCAAAAATTAGCCAGGCATGGTGGTGCACGCCTGTAATCCCAGCTACTTGGGAGGCTGAGGCAGGAGAATCACTTGAATCCAGGAGTGGAGGTTTCAGTGAGCCAAGATCGTGCCCTTGCACTCCAACCTGGGCGACAAGAGTGAAACTCGGTCTCAAAAAAAAAGAAGAAGAAAAAAAAAACAAACCAATGAACAACAGACAATTTCTCAAAACATCAAAAAAAAAATTATGGAAACCAGAGATAAATAGAAAAATCATAAAATAGCCAGAATGGGGGAAAACTAAATTCCCTTTACAAAATAAACAACTTAGCTGACATTTCAGCAAAAATAATAAAAAGCAGAAGATGATGGAATGGTATCTTTTTTTTTTCATTTTTCCATAGGTTATTGGGGTACAGGTGGTGTCTGGTTACAAGAGAAAGTTCTTTAGTAGTGATTTGTGAGATTTGGTGCACCCATCACCCGAGCAGTATACACTGCACTCTACTTATAGCCTTTTATCCCTCACCGCCTCCCACTTTTCCCCCCAAGTCACCGAAGTCCATTGTATCATTCTTATGCCTTTGCATCCTCATAGCTTAACTCCCACATATCAGTGAGAACATACGTTGTTTGGTTTTCCAAGGAATGATATATTTAAAGTGCTGAAAGAAAATAACTGCCTATCTAGAATTTTATACCGGTGAAGAAGTACTTCAAAGACGAAGGCAGACACAGTGGCTCATGCCTGTAATCCCAGCACTTTGGGAGGTTGAAGCAGGTGAATCACTTGAGGTCAGGAGTTCGAGACCAGGCTGGCCAACATGGCAAAACCTCATCTTGACTAAAAATGCAAAAATTAGCTGGGCGTGGTGGCACGCCCCTGTAATCCTAGCTACTCAGGAGGCTGAGGCATGAGAATCACTTGAACCCGGGAAGTCAAGGCCAAGACTTGTGCCACTCCCCTCCTGCCTGGGCGAAAGAGTGAGACTCTGTCTCAAAAAATCATAATCTTTTTAAATGAAGCTGAAATAAAGACATTTTTAGAAAAAATAAAAAACTGAAAGAATTTGTCACAAAAAGGCTTGCAGTAAAGGAAA